TCAGGAAAAAAACAGGCTGATTTTCTAGTTACTACTCAAAATAAAATGTCATCTGGTTCTCACATATCGAAAGCGCTTAGACTGTAGCTACGAAGACTTCGTATCGCTATACACTCCTATTGTCTCCCTATCTGTTTCAACTTCTACTGTTGCAAGGACCATACTGTAGTTCGCACCAAATAACACACTCTTCGGGTAAGATCACTGCCAAAAATAAAAGTTTTCCTTCCCTCAGTGCCTGGTCCACCTGAACTGGTTCTGGCTAATGCAAACGGAAGATAAAGTCCTCCCACGCGAGTAAACTTGTTTTCGAAATTTCAAAGGAAACATTATTCAAACTTCTTGAGGGTATCAGCTGTTGTTTAGGAATTTCAAGCGATTCAATTTTTATCAAACTTACCTTTAACATCTGCCTCTACAGACTTCTGTGACATGTCACGCTGTCCGGGGTCAGTCAAAACACACTAATTTTCGAATATTTTCTTCGTTTTCACGTATTCCGTTTGAATCGCTACCTTTCTTACCTTCAGTTTATAAAACTATTGCATATAAGCTTTCTATAACACTGTATTTGAAGGTAATCATGACAACATTTCGTTCGGGTTTTTTAAACTTTTTGTTACCAATTCAGACATTTCGAAGAGGGGTTTATGCCAGATGCAAGCACTGTCCATAGAGTCTGGGGCTAGAACTCTAAAGCGTATGCTCAGAACTGGTCATTACCGCGAAATATGAAAAGAAGAATAAATTTGGCGCACTTTGATGTATAATACATGAGGTTTGGATATTGTTTGAGTTCGGGAAATGGGACTTGAAGTTTACGCACTGGTGATTTTGTCCTCGCTGGCTCTTCTCGCGGTGGCCGTAGATGCACAAAACGATTTTGGCGAAGAATCAAGTGTCCGAAAGGGGAAAAATTGCCTTGGTTTAATTACGAAATAAACAAGTAAGTAAAATTAATCGAAGTGTACTTAAACCCGTTTCTTTTCTTCTTTTTTTACATTTTTTTTTTTCATCGAATTGATTTTTTTTAACAGCTATCTCATATATTCCCTGTCGAAGAAGCCTGACCAAGAGCCGAACGACGAAAGTGCCGATTCTCTGATTGCAGGAATCGTGGAAAAAATCTTGAGAGAATCTGAGATCAGCGGGGTTGTGATAAATTCCAGAATTCTCAACGTCTTCAGGAAATAGAGTTTTCTCCTCCACTCAGCGTTCAAGAAAGCTTCAAAAAGTGGGGGGAAGAGTGTAAAAAAGCTGATTGACTCATGGAAGGCGAAAAACTACTCCTTCAAAATTTTCTTTCATGAGCTTGAAAAAAACTCATTGATTGAGGAAAACCAACAGCTCCGTGGGCAGAAAAGGAAAGCCGAACTGGATTTAGCCGTAGAGCAGGCAAAAAGATTAAAAATTGTGCAGAAACTCGAAAATGTCATTAGGGACTCGGAAAACAGAAAAGAACAGTACAAAGAAAAATTCAAGAGATTAGCGAAGAAAGCAGCAAGAATGCAAAAAAGGGACAAAGAGGTCCAAACAAGAATAAAAAGTTCGCCGATTGCACCAAACAACACCAGGCAAGGATAAGGCGACCATTCAAAGAAGACTGCCAGTCAGCACTATCATTTTTAGGCCTGTATGACTTTGTTGCCACCAAGGTGGAGATATTCAATAATGACACCCAGCAAGATGAAACTATTTCATTGGTAGAAGAGGGAGAATTTCAACTACTAGAAACTGAGCCAAAAGAACTGACTGACAATGATATTGATGATATTAATATGTGGGTGATGAATTTNGAGGGAATACAGATTTCTTTCAGGGACAGTCTTGAAGAACAGATACAAAGGCTGCAGAAAAATGGAGTATTGGACGAGGCTACTACTATTAAAGTAAAGATCAGTGGTGATGGTACCAACATTGGGAAGAGGCTTAAACTTGAAAATGTAACATACACAATTTTGAATGAAAAGGATGCAGCAATGAATGAAAAAGGGAACTATGTTCTAGCAATAATTAAGACAACAGAGAACTATGACAATCTTAAAGAAAGCCTTGCTGATCTAAACAATGAAATGTCCAATTTAAAAGAAACAACTGTAAATAATCATTGAGTATTTTTTAAGAGGAGAATGGAAGTTTCTAGCCTGTGTCTGTGGTCCAGGAGCCGCAAATCAAAATTTTGCCTGTATTTGGTGTAAGTGTCCAAGACATGAAAGGTTTGACATCAGTAAAAAGTGGTCTTTAACTGACAAATCTCTTGGGGCAAGAGATTCACAAGAAATAGGTAAGCATGCAAAATCTAAACAATACAATTGTAAAACCAATCCATTATTTAACTTTATTCCTATTGACCATGTAATAATTGATACACTACATTTGTTTTTGAGAAAATCTGATAATTTAATTGAACTTCTTATCAGGGAACTTCGCAGAAAAGATGCGATTGACAAGGTATATACTTTTTCAAATGGTTTTTGTCGAAATAAGTATAAACACATGGCTGGGTATGAAAAATTTGTAAAAAGAGCTAGAAATTAATTTTGAATGGAAAATTAATAAGGATACCAAGAGGTTGGAGTACAGAGATCTTACTGGACCTGAAAAACTCTTGCTCTTTCAACAGATAAATTTTCAGGCAATACTATCAGAAGGTCGTGTTGCAAATAAGCTACAAGCCCTATGAGGTAATTTCATAGATATTATTAGTGACCTCAAACTAGATTATACTACTGATGATGCTATCTCTATCCTTGAAGAAAAGATATCCTTTCTGTGCACATCTTGTTAAAATAGGTGATAAATGGAAGCCAAGATGTGATTGAATCAATCAGTAATCATATAATATATCAATGTGCTAAAGGAGTGTATCACCCTTTAACTGTTAGTAGAAGTTGTAAAAAATAATTTTGCTATGCCAGTGAAATGTTTCTTGTATGCAGTATTCAAGTAGTCTCTTTCACAAATATTACTGTATTGATTACAACAGAATCACAGACTGAAATATATGGGTCATTTTGATTTATACCCACATGTTTACATTTTACGTAATTAATTCACTGGCAAGTAAAATAATTATTTGAAATCAACCATTCAGATCCAGAAAAATAAATGAACACGCGCTAAATCAAATATATTGATGGACCATATTTTTGTATCCACATCTGTTGCCATCTCCACGGACAAATATGAAAACGACTTCATGCCCGTCTTCTATTTCAGATCTCACGTATTTATCGCCAATTAATTTAAATTCCACTATAGGGTTTCTTTTTGTCAACCAAAATCTCAAAGTTCCTGGTACAACATTGGCAAAATCACCGTTT